TATATATATATATGAGTCCTCTTCAGAATTGTGTGGAACATACAGATCAAGTATTGAATGACTCTAGTGTGTAAGAAATAACACCATCAACACAAAGCAGCAGCCTCTGTGCAGTGCACAATGATAACATTGATCATACGTTTCAGTATAAAAGCTGCTTAACTGTTGTGCACCATGTTTACTGCCCTATGAAAAATAGAATTATACCAATGTGTCCTGATGTGTTTTTTTTTTCCCCCAACAGTAAAAGTAAAAGACACACTAAAGGCATTTTCTAAACTCCAAAGAAGACAAAAATACAAAAACAAAATTTTGTTCACTTGCTCGTTCCTGGAGAAAAAAAGCTAATGAAGACCACTGTGTTGGTACATCATCATCATCGGACAGAGATGGTAATAAAGGAAGCACATGAGCTTAATTCTCAAGGCCACAGTGAGTGGTCCACACAGGATAAATAAATGGTCATTTATTACTTTAAATGACAAAAGCACAGAGTGTAAACTCACGTGTCTAAATCCCAGCCATGTGGCTGTGATTTAGAATTGCAATGGTTAATTTCTTAGATGATTCAAAAATGCCACAATATATCAAAAAAGGCAGAATTTCCAAAGTCCTTGTCCTTAAACCCAGACAATAATATTTTAGGCTGTGAATCATGTTGAAAGAATTTGAACTGCAGAGAAATTTTTGCATTTTACATCTACAGATCTTGAGCACTATAGTGTTAGGATTTTCTTTTACAATCATGCTCCAACAGTCTTGATAATTCAATCTGTCTTCAAATGCTTCAGACGGGGTTTAGTGGCTTTGACTGCTCACCTGGATGTACTTCATGAAGCGGTGGCATTTGCCACAGCGGGACAGCGGCTTCCCAGTAGCAGCAATGGGAGAAAAGGAGACCTCCATCAACTCATCCATGTCTGGAAAAAATAACACACAAAGTCTGAGCTTCAGCTGCATACAAGAAACTGGAACCTGCAGTGTGCTTTAATAATATGTCTCCTCTGCATTCACAGGTCACATGTTTCTTGTTGATGTAAAACTGTAATTACAGCACTGTTACCCAGTCCCTGCCATGTTCGACCCATTTAGCAGAAACCAGCCTGTTTAAAGCTCTGAGATCTTTTCACAGTTTTCTTACTCAAAGATTCAATGTGAGGTCACTAGCCACTTCACCATTTCCTCAGATTAGCAAACAACCTGTTCTGAGCCACAGCTACCAATAATAATCCCAATAATAATAATCAATAATCCCTTTAAGGAACTTGTGACACTGCGTTCCTGTGGTTTCACTGGACTTACTGGTAATGGAGTCAACAAAGTAGTGAAACTTCCTCTTGAAGATATCCAGGGCGTGCTGTAGGACCTGATGGTAGTTGGCCTTACCCTGCGCAATAAGGTTAAGCTGCTTTTCTACAGCACTGCGTATAGTGGGAAGCACCAGTTCTGCATCTGAAAAACACACAATTAAATTTGCATTAATAATAATCTTGTATTTTATTAGCTCTATAAACCACTCTGTCTGGTCCTATATCCTGCAGGTATTTGGTTATATTCAAGTACCTGCATTAGTTGCCATAGCATCCAAAGATAAATCAGTTATGTTCCAGAAACCCTCCACTACTGACCAAGCACAAATTCATTACAAGAGTAAGAGAATACAAAGGTAACTTAAGCAAATGACCTATCTTGTAGTAGCCATGTACCAGGACTATGCCTAAGTTGGTTGGTTTCAGCTTGCGTCCACTCTCAACTGTCACATAGTTCCTCTGGCAGATGTTATTGATGTGGACTGGGATACTAGCATCAGTACCTGGGGGGAGGACAAAGACCAACATCTATAAGACTGTTTTCAGAATTTACAGCCAAAGAACTGCTGTCATGCATGAAGTCCTCAAAGGTTGTCCTCAAAGATATAATAAACATGTGTAATGAGCAGAAAGATTAATGACTCATCCATGCAATAGAGATGACAGATTGGGTGACTGGCATCTGCAATCCGTTTCTGCCTTGCTTCCCAAATACCACACAATTAAAATATGACCAGACATGAAGTGATAACCCACAGCAGGTCCATTTCCTGGACACAGACCAGCTTTCCATCTAAGCGAACAGCTGAGTTTAAATTAAACAATGTGCACAGGCAGCTTGTTGCTTAAATTATTTAAAAAGTATTTAAGTATACCAATGCCATGTTTCTCCATGAGGGTGATGAGTTCAGCCTCAGTCAGGTAGTCTGGTGGGCTGGTTTGCTTTTCTATCAGCTTGATCTCATCTACTGAGAAAGTGTCTCCACGCTCACATACTGGTATGGACTCTTCCAGAGGGATGCCCTGCCATGGCATTACAGTCGTGTAACCTGAAAACAAAATGCACATTTAGCAAGGATTAGCTTGCTGCAGGCGTGGTAATTCTTTAATGTTCACAAATCTCTTCACTACGGGTGGGTGATATAAACGATATACGATAGAAACAATATAAATTTGGCCAACGATATCGGTACCGCGATAGCGCATGATGATGATGTCATCAAGCTGCGCCTGTTTTGGTCGGAAGCATCGCAGCTGCTACAACCATTATCATCTACAAATTATGCCGGGCGACAGATGAAGAGATGAAGCACTTTTTGAAATATGGGGAAAGCCAAAAACTGTGATTCCTCCACTTCCGTAACATTGATTCATTAATGTTGAATTCTCTCGCAGCTGTTCTATTCCCATATTGTTGCAGTATATTAATAACTAACCTTGTATTGTGGATAAATAATCTCAGTTGTTCTCCTGAGTGAAGTTTGCCCCGTGTATAGCATCCTGCTATGCGATTGCATTTGTCCCTGACCACCAGAATCCGTCACGTTAACATTTATTGAGTGGGAAAAAAAAGTTAATAAATGTTAACGTGGGAAAAAAAGTTGGCGTTCATCCTCCAGCTTCACTGTGCTAATGTTATGCTAATATAGCTGTGTCACTAGCAATCACGTAGCACAACATTATATACCAGGCAGTCCAACGTCAGTAACCCTGCAAACGCCCTTGCTGTTTAGTTTTCTGTCTTCATTTATGTTGGAAGTGGTAGCAGAGCTGTACGTTTTAATTAGTTTCAAAAGTCTCTCAGTCAGAACATGGTATGTTATGTTTAGCTGTAAACTAGCGAGCTAACTTCCTGTTAACTTCTAACTCTGTTAAATTTAATAAATTCTGTTTTCATGGATGCATGGATGTTAAACTTAATTGTTACACCTGGTAAAGCAGCAACGCTGATGATTTTATTAAAGATTAAAGAATTTAGACCGTGTTTAACTCTCAGTGTTCGTTTGACTTAGGGACCTGAAGAGACGGAGTTTTGGACCCAGATTACTCCGCGAAGCTCCTCACTACGGCAGCCGTAATGCTCTGACAATCCATCAAGCAGTGCGGCTTACCAAAGTTGTACTAAAACATTTTTTAACAGATTTCTGCACGCCAAAATCGATTCGAGGTCAGTAAGCACAACCAGAATTCATACATAAGGCACACTCTCAATTTTTGAGAAAATTAAAGGATTTTAAGTGTGCCTTACAGTGTTGGTCAAGTTACTTGAAAAAAGTAATCAGTAACTAATTACTGATTACTTCCCCAAAAAGTAATCCCGTTACTTTACTGATTACTTATTTTCAAAAGTAATTAATTACTTAGTCACTTTTTAAAAAACCGATTTACAACCTGAATAGGTGATAAAGCGATAGATCTTTCAGCCCAATTCTACTTTTTCTGCATAATCCATCATACAAAATGTAATCAAATGGAAAAGTCTCTTTTTTTTTAAACTTGTTTTTATCAGTTTTAATCTTTTAACTTTATGCATCAAGCGAAAATTTTAATTATATGCACCATTCTCTGACTTGAAGAAATTAGTTTAACATTTAAACCTATTTTCTGCACATTCCAGCACATAAAATAACATTTTTTTTGTGTTTACACTTTCAAATAGATGCAAGTAAAACACAGCAGAAAATAAATAAAATCAAAGACTAGTGGTCCTGTTGCTCTATTTACACCTGTAAAGCAGGAGTGGGGTTGGCGGAGGTTTGCCCTGGTGCAGGTGTGCTGCAGTGGTCAGTTGAAGAATCCGTGAGTTTCTCTGTGAATTTCCCATTATGTCGTTGCACACTCGGTGCTTGTTTAGGGTTTTTTTTCGCTGTAAAAAGAAGTTTTCTTCCCACGCACAATGGACGCAAATGTTTTTGTCACTTTTTATGGAATCAAACTCAAAGTAAGGTCAGTACTTCCACGCTTTAAATGCTGCATGCTCATACTCTCTCCCGCACTCGATATATTATCCATTGTTGATCTACACACAGCTGTTGTCACGAACGTCGCACTCGCTTACGTCATTGTCATGAGACATTCTCGCAAAAAAAAAATTTTTTTTAAAAAAAAATCACGGTTTAAGTAACGCAGTGTTCCTACGGGAAAGTAACGGTAATCTAATTACCGTTTTTGCAATAGTAATCCCTTACTTTACTCGTTACTTGAAAAAAGTAATCAGATTACAGTAACGTGTTACGTGTTACTGCCCATCTCTGGTGCCTTAAAGTGTGGAAAATACGTTATACAGAAGAAAAGAATATATCGCGATATATATCGTTACCGCACATGCTTCAAATTATACCGTGATATGGATTTTAGGCCATATTGCCCAGCCCTACTCTGCACTGAAGATCTAAGCCATAATCTGATTGTTATACAAGTCAGAGGAGTAGACAAATAGATCCTTTCTTAATGTAAAGATCTATTAAGGTTTGATCTTCCCAAGACATGTTTAAAGGAAGTGTACACAACATTAACAAAAAACATTTCTGCAGGATTCTTGTCACTCATATCAGCAAAGCGACTAGACTATGGGGTAACAAAGTACTGCTCTGCAAAAAGAACACTCAAGCCTGAGATGCATAGACTCATGTAAATTTTTCTTCCACATGACTGCACGTTTAAATTATAAAAATTTTGTTGGAAGAAAGGGAAATACTGTTGCAGTTTGGGCCTGTTTTCCTGCATCTGGGTAAGAAGTATGGGTGAGACTATGTTTAATGAAGCAGTAGATTCTTAATCAAGCAGCTCTAAAGCACAATGTCAGGCCATCGTTCACGGACTCAGAAAGCTGATTAAGGACTCACTGCTGACATTATTTGCAGCTGTATTCTAAAATAGTTATGAAGAACCACAAAATATAGACAGGTGTCAAATCCTAAAAACTCCATCTGAATAGTGCCACCATGTGGTCTGTATCATGTCTACACCAAAAGGGCATACAATCACAGAGTCTAGCTATAAGCAAAGTTTATGATGTCATAAGGCACCTTTGACAGCTACATAGTCACAAGCAATTACTCCATACACTAAGCAAACAATGATGTTAATACAATGCAATGGTTTACTGCAGGTAAGTACTGCAAAATTCTGCAAAACAATCATCTATGTTTACCTGGTGATATAAGGGTTCTTCCACTACATGAGAAAGCCTCTGTGCCAATGCTGAACTCTATAGTGGTTTGTAGGTACTTGCAGTCTTGACTTACAGTGGCAATAAAATGCCGGGTAATGTACTCATATAGCCGCCAGCCATCACTTCCTGTGGGAAGAAAAGAACACATTTGGGTATACATAGTTATTGATGTACAATTCTAATATTCTACAGTGTAATAACTTCACACTGTTAGATGTTGGGTTATTCAATTTCAAATAATTTTTAGAACAGTGTGTCTTGTGCCATATTAGCACAGTAATGTATTGACAGAGCAGTGCAATTAAAACAAGTGACCAGAGTAGTATACACAGTAGTGAAGCAGCATGATCAGTGTAGCAGCATGTAACATAAAAATGAATCAGATACGATATGAAATATGACCATGAAAGTTCTGTGACAAGAATACAATATAAGGTCCTGTTTCAGTCACTTATGGATACTGTGACGGGAGTGGGGGCACATTCTGATTTAGGACCAGAGGACAGAAGCTACTAGAGTCTCGTGATTTTTGCCCCCATGGTGCGGAACCTTCTGCCTCATTGCAGAAGTTGAAACAGTTTGTTACTGGGATGGGACGAGTCCTTTAATATACCTGCTTCAGTACCACATGGAAGCTCTCATGTGGTACTGTGGTACATGAACCCCCTCAGCCAGATCATTAACAAGACTGGCTTCTTCTGTCTGCCAGTGGGACATGCCATGCTGGGGCCTGTCCTTCAATAATGGTTTCTCTTATTGCTCCCCTTCATTCTTGGGTTTCTGCTGTCTGTGGTATTCACCAAGCACATGATCAGCTGTGACCATTGTCAATAAGACAATGTGTCATTCACACCTGGCATCGATGGAGGCATTCATGGAGAGGAGGTGACTAATGAACGAAGAGGAGCAAGAAGTGAAACCATTATCGACGGACAGGCCCCTGCATGGTATGTACCACTGGCAGACAGAAGAAGTGGCTGATATTGGAAAAATCCTATTAACACCTGGAGAAAGCTAAACTGAAACACAGAGGCACTAATGGTGGCAGCACAGTACACAATACAGCACAACTTAAAAGTGAAGCACGAAGTCGATAGAGGCTGGGGTCTACCACAGCAAGCAAGATGCCAGGTGCAGGCTGTGCAAAGATGCCTCTGAGACAATCACATAACAGCAGGGTCTAATATGCTAGCAGGTAGGGAATAGTGTGTATGTATATATTGAAAATAAAAATTCCTGTTTAATTAATTAATTTTTTAAAGGATAGCTGACCCACTTTCAGGACATTTTTTCACACAGTTATTGATTTTACTATGCCTGTTGCTCATTTTTGTTGAATATTTGTAACATCTAATCTTAATAGTAACAGTTTGTAAAAAGAACTGAGTTCAGCTTATTGGTGCTACCATCTACCAGTTAGTCATGCAGTGGCCCTGTGGGAAAATTAATTGCCCACCCCTGTGCTAGAGAGAATTTAAGAGTTCAAGTTAAATGGACTGATTCTTACATATAGCACTCCCCCAGAGCATTCAAAGCCATTTTTATACAACATTTCACCCACTCAAACAAGCACTTTCTTCTACTCTAAGTGCTTTCTATCAAAACATGCACACATTCATACTCTGTCAGATGCATCAGAGAGCAACTTGGGGCATGCAGACTGGGTCAAACCACCAAACTTAAGATTAGCAAGTGATCTGCTCTATCAACTGAACTACAGCCAACTGTGTGAAGTTTTCAACTACTACCATTTGTGAGATTTTAGAGCACCTAATGCTTCTAAATGATGACAAGCTTTGTGCACAGGTTGCTTTTGAAATCTGTTGACTCGCCTCAATAAAAATGCCCAAACCATCATTAATTTGTGACAAATTGCTTTTTTAAACCAAATTCACAAATTCCACAACAAAGGATATTTTTTATTTTAACTATAATAATATTTTAACTATAATAACCATCAGACATCCTAACATGTTATATATAGGGCTTTGAATATTCAAACTCTTTATTAACCTAACATTTCCTAGATTGACTAACAGAAAATATGTCTACAATATTGCTCATTGCTCCTTGAAGGCATGCCCTATATAAATAGAGGTGTATCATAAAAAGAGGTGATGTTGTTCAGTTATTTGCCTGTATTGCTCACCTAGTTCTGCTTCCGTGGCAGCACACATGGGAGTAATAGGTGGATGATCTCCAGCATCAGTGCCCTTCCTGGGTTGGTTTATTCCAGTTGAAAGCAGAGCTTTTACCTGATGAAAAATTAAAAAACCTTTTATCATTTTCAATCGCATTAATTTCTAAGTGGCTCTTTCTTTGTACTACTGTAGGATTGCCTTGATGTGACTGTTGTTGCGATTTGGGGTTGTGTGAATAGAATTGAATTGAACTGAATTGAATGAATCACTTTATGTATACACATATAAGCAGCCTTGAATGAATGTACTCACCTCTTCTACCCAGAAGGGGTTGTTGGTCTGCTGCTTCAGTGTTCCCTTCAGGTCGAAGTTTGCTGGGTAGTGGGTCGTCTCGGTACGTGGGTAGCTGATGTAGCCCTGTGTATATAGGCGCTCAGCAATCTGCATAGTATGCTGGGGACCCATGCCTGAAACATAATATCACATCCTTTTTCTCTTTAATTCTTTCACATTTTTTCTTCCAGCAGACAGAGTACACCGATGAGGAAGGCTGGATGTGATTGGCTGCAAACTGGACACACTTGAAACTATGGCATAGAAGCTGTCACTAAACAAACTCGTATCCATCTATGTATAACCCAGATCACCATCTGCACCATTTACTGGACAGGCAGTGGAGCATCTTCTCTAACAGACTCATTCACCTGTGCTGCCACAAGGGCACACCCAGCAGTCTTTCATGCCACATATAATAAGTACAAAGAAATACATCATCTAACAGAGAAATGCGTTGAGATATCTTATGTCACATAAGTAATGGGTGTGATGGTCAAACTCATTAAACATTAAAACAATAGAAAACCTGAGTCCATTCCTGTGAATACAAATTCCATTCAAAAGACTTTTTATGATAAGTTTAGATATTAGGTAAGAATAGAACAGAAGATACTCTCCAGTAAGTGACTGTTCCTCTCGATCGCAAAGGATAAAGTGTAAGGTGGGCTTTCCAGTACATGACCCTTACCTTTCATTGAAACAATATTAAAAGTACAAGGATCAAATATAAAGACAGTATCATTTTATTTTTGCAAACATAATAATCAAAGATCAGAACAACTGTCAGTGTTATAGCAGCCATATTCACAACCCGAATTCCGAAGAAGTTGGGACGCTGTGTAAAGCGGCGATTGGCAATAACAGTTTTATTTATAAAGCACATTTGATTACACTTTAACTCACGGTGCGTAACACAGTAGCTAAAAGTAGTGGATACCCCTCAGCCTCAAGGATATCCTATTCCGATCACTCAAAATACTTTACACTACACCACATAGCCATAAAACACATCCTGCATCAACACATGCATCAATTTAGAATCACCAGGGAACCAAACGTGTTCAATTATATTTGAGTCAGTTTCATCTAATCAAGCTTAACATTCTTAGTTCAAACTTCATAAAGATTAAACAAACCAAAACAAGAAAAAAAAAACTATTGTTTTTCCTATCCATGACTCATGAAAAACCACAAACCCATCCCCTCAGTGTATTTCTATGCTCAGGAGAAATGACAGCTCATGAAAAAGTAAATATAAATAGCTGTAAATGTAAATATACATATGTAAATACCTAAGGCAGAACTAGCCACTCTCAACATCTCCACTGTGTTTAAGGCTTGAGGCCTCTGCTTGGTCTTCTCCTTCTTACTCACCAACTCCACCTGTGAGAGAGAGCAGACACCTGCTTAAGCAAGCTGACCTAAATTTATTATAATTCAGATTGACTGGAAAATGTTTTATAAAGCAGACGTTTGTCTTTGTAGTTAATTTAATATTTGGTGAAACAGGAAACGGAATAATAATCATGACCTTCATAATGTCAGACAGCACATGTACAATAAAAAAATATTATCTACAAACCACAAAGTCTGGTTTTTGCACTCACCTGCGCATCCCTGGATGTTTTCGCCAGGTTGACAAACATTTGACCCACCTCTCTGTCAAAGACCCTAACTCTGTTCCAGTCCAGTGTCAGTGGACTCTCCTTTCCTTTAAAAACCTGAACAAAGCACATCATTTCTGTCAATACCGCACAGCAGAAAGGAATCTTTGACAGTGTGGCAGGAAACTGAGGTCATGGTTTACCTTTGCCTGGATGACCCAGTAAGTCTCTGGTTTAAAGGACTGGATCTTGTCATGGCGTTCCACACAGAAGCCAAGTGTTGGGGTCTGGCACGGACCAAAGGAGATTAACGAAGAGTCTAGATTGCCATATTTCCCTTGAAAATACTTTGTTTGGAACCTGAAAATTTGTTTAGTCAAGAAAAAACCTTAAATGAACAGTATAAATATCTTTGATCAGCTGTAATCAACCATGTTTTCAAAGATTCTGGAATTTAATAAACTTCTGACCAGATGAACTAAGCTTTGGATGGAGGTGAAATCACACAAAAACAGTGCTCTGTGGCATTTTGAGTTTGGGACCCTTTTTTTTTTTTTTAAATTAGTGCAGTTTGAAAGTGTGGTATTTAACTAACCTTCCTCTTCTGCTTGATTAATCACACAATTCTGAGCTTACATGAGAAATCAAAGTCAAAGTCAAAGTAAACTTTATTGTCATCTCTGCTACATACAGTACAGTATATAGAGAGATGAGACAATGAGGCTCCAGTATCACCAGGGTATTTATTTGAATTGTAATTTTGAAACCTTCTACATCAGTAGACAGCTGTGTGTGGGTGAAGAGAGCAGTGTACCGGGTGAAGGCACAGCCAATACGCAGATCCAGCTCTTGCCGTGCATCTACTGACAGAGCTTCATTGTGATTGGGCTCTCCAAGGCGGTTCATAGCATTCCAGATGTCAGTGTCAGTAATGGAGCTGAATTTGGCACGGTAAACACTCCTGGCACTTCCCTTATTCATCACTGGCTGAATGGCATCCAGCACCTTGAAGAGAATTACAGGTGAGGCAGAACACAGAAACAAACAGCACAAAAAGATCAAGAACACGAACAGGACAAAACTAGAAAGAGCACACAAAATTAAATGACAGCAGCTTGAGCATGTACCAGGTCACTAAAGGATGGCTGTAGGCCATCTGATACAGCTACAACTATAAGTTTTATCAAAAAGTTTGAAAGCCTTATGTTAATAGAGAGTACTAATAAGAAACAGATGTGGTGACCAGCATTACCTCGAAACATATGTTCTCTCCTTCTTTGTCACAGTCCAACCACAAAACCACACAGTCACTGCCTCTGGCTTCAACCTGACATGATACCACAAACTTACGGTTAACAATGCAGTGCAGTGAAAACATATTTGCACCCTCCCAAATTTGTTAGTATGCTGTGCAACTGTGACACGTTTCAAATCTTCAAAAGAATTATATTAGAAAGAGAAAACCTGAAATAAATACAAAGTGCAGTTTTAAAATGATGATTTCATTTATTAAGGGAACAAAATCTATCAAATATACCTGGCCCCTTTGTTGATAGTGAATTAAATGTGATTAACTACATTTTGGAAAGCTGAGTTTAATTTGATTAGCCAGATAGCCTGATTAGTGCCAGAGCTACTGAATCAAGAGATCTTTTAAATAAAACCAAGTAGGCTAAAAGATCTCAAAAAGCAACACATAATGGGTTTTTTTTGTATTGTGGCACCCAGAAACAAAGTCATTTCTCAGGCTCTGGGACTCAAGTGAACCACGGTGAGAGCTATTATCCACACATAGAAAAAAACCTACAACTGAACTCCAACTCCAAAACTTCAAAAGTATTGCTCAGTTGGGTTATTCCGCAGGACAATGATCCAAAACCATTCAAGGCACTTTACATTAGGGAAAGACACTACATCAAGATCGATAACATAATAATACACCAGCAAGTCTACATCTGAACAGCTAAAAAAAAAAAAAAGCCAAATAGGTTTTGGAGTGACTAATCAAAGTCCAGACTCTAATCTGATTAAAATAAGAAATCACATAACAACTAGTACTGATGTATTGTAAAGCCAATTAATGGGTCAACCTACCTGAAGAAACTTGACCATATTGAGTTTAGGGTTGGCCTCCTTCTTTTCAGTAGGAGCTTTACTAAAGAGTTCTGCAGGGTCTACTTTGTCCCAGTTGTTATATTTCCCTGGAAAATAAAGAAAAAGTGCAACATCCTTCACATTCACTACACTATTGCTGTGGACCGATATCAGCCATACAGTTCATATCACTTGATCACTGCAGTGTACTACAATACAATGATTGACACTTTTTTTTATACAATGGTGCTTCACAGAAAATAACCCCTTCATCATCTGACACAAATAAGTTGTGGCATTTTGAACTGTATTATTTTATAAAACTGTCCCTAATAATCTGTTTTAATTACTCCTCCCATGTAAAATTAGGAGGTGAAAAAAAAAAAAACAGTGAAAATTTAGATCAAGGCTGAGCAAGACCTAACATGGAGGATACCCACCAATAAAATCGAGACTCATCACATGCCCACAAACAGAAGTCATCTTAAAGTGTACAGTTTGGCCCTGGAAAATGCCGGTGTATTCGTGCACTGAGCATGCGCCATTGAGCCCCTTGCGACTTGTACAGTTTCCTAAAGAAAAAGGAGAGCAAATTAGGCATGAAAAAGGCTACACGGTTATCTTATTATAATTACAAACAGATAAGGTCAACAAAACATTTCAATGTTCATGTTAAAAAACCAGAAGCCTTAATACAAATTTAGCAGCTCAAACAGCAGATGAATTTTAATTGACAGGTCAACACCTACACCTTCATTTTGCTGCTCCTTTTATGGAGATCCCATCTCATCCTATCTCTACCAACTCTCTGCATGTCCTCCACGACCCTGCATTCCGTTTTCTTCTATGGGCTCGGAGAGTTTGGAGGTATGGTCTTCACTCCAGACTGTATAGGAATTTCAAGACCATACCTCCAAACTCTCCAAGATCTTGTCCACCTGCTCCCTACTCTCACTACAGATCACAACGTGTTTGCAAACATCACAGTCCACAGACACTTCTGTCTGAGCTCATCTGTCAGTCTGTCCATCATCACTGCAAACAAGAAGTGGCTCAGAGCACTTCTCTGATGTAATCACCAATCTGCCCTCATGCATATCTTGCACCACCCTTACCACCCTCTTGACATCCTGATGCAGTTCCATAGTTAGTCTGTCAGCATCTTCATCCACAAAGTGAAGTTCCTTCAGATCTACTCTATACTTCTTCATCAACACTTGAAAAGCCAACATCACATCTGCAGTGCTCTTTCTCCAACCAGAAGACAGCTTGGAGTGAGATGTGTCTGCACTGCCAGTCTAGCTGAAGTCGTGAGATGAGGATCTTCTGCGACACTGTCAACTGTTTCTCTGTTCTGCTTTCTCCTCAGTTTATCTGGCTCTTGACTTTCTTTCTTCTATGCTCTAGTTTTTTAAGGTTTTACTCACACATGTATGTTATTCACTTCGTCCCGGTATATTTTCAACATGTACTGATGCTGTCTTGTAGTTCTATCTGGGATGTAGAGCCTGACTGATTTACTGACTATATTAGAAGATATTATGAAGAGTGTTTTAAACTCCACATGTCAATGTCTCCCCACACACCAAAATCTAAAACATAAAGAACAATCATGATTTAAATTGTTTTGAGATGCTCTAATACCTCTGATGTGACCATTTTCGTTCAGGGGTTTTGCAGGCACCATCTGAAATTGGCACTGTTTTCATTTTCCCACTTTTTGTCGTTGTTTAAAATTCCCAGCACATAAAGAGCAACGCAAATATTTTTGAGAAGGTCTGATACGTGTAACTGTTCTTTAGTCAGTGGTTTTTAAAGTCACTATCTAGACTTGTTTATTTCATTTGATGTTATCACATTTTTTATTTTACAATTTTTACATGGTATGAGCACAAAATACCTTTTTTCACCACCACCCTTCCATTTTGACCTCGGGACATCCAGGTTATACTCGGCACAGATGTTTCTGTATACTATGCCAGCCACTTGGTTATGGCATTCCTTTCTGCAACTCCGATAGTTGGCTAACCTACCTCCATGCTATCTTGGTGATGATATCTCCCCCCTGACCTGGCGTCCTGGCTCCCCCTTGCTGTAGCATTTATGTTGTACCTTGTCAATCTCTAGCTGTGAGAGCAGTCCCTTCTTTCGAATGTTGGAACACTGAGCTATTAGTTGTTTCGCCGTCATTGTGGATGTTGGATATCGAAGAATCTATCTATCGAGATATATATATATATAGATATATAGATATATATAGATATATAGATATATATAGATATATATAGATATAGATATATATATATATAGATATATATAGATATAGATATATATAGATATAGATATATATAGATATAGATATATATAGATATAGATATAGATAGATAGATATATAGCGAGAGACAGAGAGAGATATTTGCTCCCTAAATCCTTCATCAGCATATCATACCATATTTCAATTTAATGCCAATATTTATCTTTAGCAATACAGTTACTTGTCTTGATGTATTAGTTTGGGGTCTTTATGGTGTAAGGTCTACCTTACAACATAAAGTGCCTTGAGGTGACTGTTGTTGTGACTGGGTGCTGTATAAATAAAACTGAACTGAATTAATAAATGATTTGTTTTGCATTTTTTTTCTACTGAGCATTTTACATTTAGAAATCAATTTAAAAATGAACTTCTGAATCACGGTCAAAAACATTACAGAAAAGTTACTTCACTTTTTTGTTCTCTCATACTGTAGTCTAATTGCTGATGAGTCATAGAAGCAGCCATTAGCACGAGGCCAAAGTGGTCGTGAGCAAGCGTCCTCTCCCTGCTTACCTAAAATTTCTGGTACAGGCTGATGTCCTTATGAATAAAATGACTCTCTCAAGGCTGAATTATAATGACAGTACGCAAACTATTATGACAGTAACTAATATATTCCCCACCCCCTACACAGACACAGCTACCCCAGCCTCTTTGAGGTGAACAACCCAATCAACAATGCACACAAGCAGAAATCCAGCCAAGAACAGGGCACATATATAGAGGTAGGTCCAGAAACAGTTCACAGATCGACTCCAAGCCAAAGAACAGAGTGACCACCAAAGAAAGGCAAAGAAGCTCCACTGCACCTAACTCCAGCCAAACAGTCAAGCCATGGAACAGCTCCAGGTAAGTATGCTGCCTTTTTGGTTTTTAGTAATGTCGACTGACATACAGCAACGTTAAACTCAGATGGGCTTTAAGGAACACACTAGTAGATTTATGGATGTTTTCACATCTTTCAACTCTATTTAATTCAATCTGCAGGTTAGTAAAATTAAACAACATTCATTTTCTATTAGAGCTGGATATCGTCACAGATTTCTAACTGATTTGATTCGATTTTGACTCAGACAGTCAGAAATATTATAATTCTTATTACTTATCAGTACATATCCATATTTTTATGTATGTATAAAAACAAAGCTGACAATTGTAAGACTTTAGAGGTGCAAGCATCACAGCAGATGCCTTTTTATCAAAGTGACTGAGGATAAAACACAGAAAAAAATAAAGTAGATTTTCTTGGCCTGGCTTTTATAGCAGATAACCCTTAAAAATATTCTGCAGTAGTTAAAAAACTGAAGAAAACCACAAGTCAGTATATGAACATTACCCAATGCTGCTGAAGTGAAAATCAGAGCAAAGTTACAGAGGTTTTATAAGAGAAATAGCCAAGTGTTTTGCAATCTAAGCATATTTTGTAAAAGCTTACATTTCTTTGGTATTGAACCGCAGAAATTAGGCTCTCTTATCGGAGGTCGGTTTGGGGAAAAAAAAAAAAAATGGCGGGTGACAGCGTGCAATCAACAGTATACTGGTGCGTAAAAAGCAAGCAAATAATGCAGAAAACAGAGATTATTGATGGTAAACTGGTCTCTTGAGTACACTGTGAGAGAGCAGTGAAAATGTTTTTCAAACATGAAGCGTACTTTTGCTCTTCTTTTGCTGCTGGTTCAAACTGGCAGCTTCTGAATGTGTGAGATGTCAGCTTTCAGCACCCCACTGCATGTCCGCAGACATGAATGAGCTGTGCTTTGTGTTTACATCTGTTTACCTGCTCTCAATTGCTGTTTTAGCCGTTTGGTGGTTGTTGAAATAGTTTTGTGAGGTTTAACCTGAGATTCTGGCGTTTCTGGCAAAATACATTTATATTTAAAAATCGATATTGCATTATTCAAACTAAAATCGATTTGAATTAGAAAATCAATTTTTAAAATCCCACCCCTATTTTCTACATACTTACTTTATTAGACATCTATAGCGGTGTTCAAATATCTGCATATCCTGACTGCACAAGTTAAGTGTATGAATCTATTACAAAAAGAAAAACATTTGTATGCTGAACCCACTACAACATTTCTGTGAGTCCATTTTTTAAAGACCAGTACAGGAATGTTATTCACCTGACTGGCAATATCTACCAGTAGCTCAGAATAAGTAATTTGTACAATAGGAAGAGGTTATGCCAGATTTCCTAATATAATAGTAATTAAAAGCTGGGTCTCTGATAATGTAGGGAGTGTTGTTCAAGTAAAGTAAGTCAGTAAAAAAGAAAAGAGCAACCCTGTAACATCGCTGTATGTGATCAATCTTGAGAGCCAGACAATGTAAGAGAGAGAACCACAACAACCCACCATGAACAGGCACAGTGAAGTGGTGGTGAGGAAATCTTTTAACAGGCAGAACCAGGCTCAGTGTGGGACCCATTTACCTTCTGTGGACAAATTAGATAAAGGACCCAGTCACACCTGATGAACTGAACTGACCTTATTTACTTCAAACCAACTTCCAAAATTATGTCAAGGCAAAAGTAGCGCTGCGTGTTTTTTTAACTTAGAGGTGACAGAATATTTGACACCTGTATAATATTTTTCCTTAAGAAATATGAGCATGGCTTCCGCTAAAATCTTTAATAATTGTAAGAAGCCAAAACTTACAAAGTAGGACAGGAAGTCTAAAGTCAAAAACTATCCCATCATAGGAGACCAGTATTACATTTGCCACCTTTAGAAGGTATAGAAACCTTGGTGATGTGTCTGGGTTCACTGATAAGAAACTCACCAATCCATCAAAACATAAACTCGCTGACTGTGTGTTCAGCAGCTGCGTGTCTTTCTGCTGTGTCTGCTGGCCCTTCATCAGTGCGTGGCCCTGTCACTGAGCAGCCAGTGTGTGGACGAATCTTTCTGCACGTACAGCCTGCAGGACTACCACAGCCAGCTGGTCAACCTGCCCACCCGCATCAACGAGCGCAGCATTGCGACCTGGAGCTACGTGTAAGTGCTGGAACCTGCAACGCAAACTCTTATGCTGATTCTGCTTGGCTGAGAGAATGTTGAATGGGATGGGTCTATCCAGCAGTGTTAAGTCTAGTACTAAGAAAAAGCATCTCTCCATATTGGAACTTTACAAATTAGCAGAAAAAGCTGCGGGAGTCCTTCATTAAAGCACAAACTTTGCGAAGAAAAGCAACTTTTGTAGCTTTTTGTTTCTCTGTTTGTTTTACACAGAGAAAAATCTCCAGTATGTCTGCAGAAGTTGAGGCTTTCGTAACATTTTTCAGATCGAAAGTGAAATAATACAAACTATTGTATTAATTAAATATCTTAATTTTTATAATTAAAATATATATTTTTTTAAAAACTCCACACTTTTCACAAGCCAATGAGCCATTACACTCTGAGCCATGAGCTGAGGGTTGTTAGGTTGGACAGTAATTAATATTAATAAAAATGTCTACACCACCATAACATCTGTTTTCAGCAGCACAACAACATTCCTCCAATTAACATCGGAAAGCCTTCCAAGAAGACAGAGTAAAGGTAGATTTCTTATGCCTTAGTATATTGTATATTTTATTTTATTTGACCTTTGTCTGTACTTGAGATTATTTACATATTTTTACATTTAAGATTATGGTTTCTTAAAAAAAAAAAAAAAAAGATTTCAATTTTTTTTTTAGAGATGTTGTATGCAGTTAAACCTTTAAACACTGCAATTCTAAAATGGAAACCAATGAGTAGTTCATTCTTAAAGACCTGTGTTTTTTTCTAATTTGAATATTTATTAATGCTCATTAATAACAAAAAAAGTTATTCTTATGTGATTAATCAATGGAATAATCGATAGATTACTCGAATATCCGATAGCTGCAGCCCTACAAATTATAGCTCTGGATCTTTAAACTCGATCCATTTAATAATAAAACTCACTGGCTCACAGCCTAATACGGCAGACGTGGACATCCCTCTTGTTTGTTGCAGATCAAAGTGTAAGTAGAGAATGCATTTCCTGAAGAAAATGCAGTGTGAATGCTGACAGCTGAATGGTTTGAGCTGAAATGTAATAATTGCTGAATATTTAGTTAAAAAATCTTGAATGAGCTGAAATACATTGAATCATTCACCTGAAAGCAAAAGTGCAAAACTGTTGAAAGCTGAAGTTCACACAGAGGAAGTTTCAAAGTTGGAAAGTACCTGAACGTCTTTAAAGTTAAATTAGAAAAAGCTGATTAATGACAAAAGAAAATTTAGCATCAGAAAACTTCTGAATGAATAATGAAGTCCGGTATTCCTTAAATCACTAGAAGAGTGGAATTACGTATTTTAAATGTCTAAACTCAAGAATAACAAATGGAAAAAAAAAAAAGCTGCAAAAAAGCTGTTGCATGCGTATGTCTGTGAGTCTGAGTTACTGATGCTCAATGGGGAAACAAAGACATTAGACAAGGTTAAAAAAACTTAACACCTTCCTACTCTTCCAGGGATGCTGATGCTATTTTCTGGAGAACTGATTGGCCAGTAGGTGGTGATTTCTAATCTGGAATTTAACCTGCTCCAGAGCAGGTTAGATTCACAGCATGAGTTACCATGGTGAATTACCTCAGTAAGAAGTGAACCACCTTTGTAGTACAGAAAATCCAGATAAGTCCAAATCTAGATTCACAGTATAGGCCTACTCTTCATCTCTCACCAGGGAAAACATCGACTTGAACCGGGTGCCTCAGGTCATCCATGAGGCCAGCTGCCACACCGGCCACTCCTGCAGGGGACTTGACAGTGAATTTGGTTTAGAGACCATCCCCGTATCCCTGAGGATGCCAGTCCTCAAGAAGAACCCCAGCTGCTTCCCCTCAGCCAGCTACTCTCTGGAGTTTGAGCTCATCACTGTGGCATGTATATGTGCCATCTCCAGACACAGCTGAACACAACAGAGCATGCTATGGTCAACTTAGGCCACTGGAAAACTTCACCAACATCCACTGTTTAGACAAAGTATAGTTTTCACATCAGTTTTACTGAGAAATAGCCCATTTCACTCATTGTGCTTGTTTTCCAGAAGACACTGAAAAGGTTATCAGTTATTACACACCTGTTAAAAGCTCATTAAAGCAATCTGAGACACTTTACATTATACAGTGTCAATTCTGTGTCCATGTGTAGTGTTTTGACAGCCTTGTTATCACAACACTTTTCTGTTTAATTCGAGATCCAGTCTAAGAGTGTCTAAAAAAAAAAAAAGAGTACTGCTTTAACTATTGTATATAATATGTCATTTAGCAGTACAGGCAAACACAGGAAACAAACCAACAAGTCCAAAACTGGGGTCATCATTTGGATTACTCTAATTAAGACAAGCAGGCCAGCCAGGCTTATATATGCTGAGTGCCCAGATTTAAAAAATCCTTGTATTCTGAAAAAACAAAGAAAGAAACAACAACAAAAAACCAAAAACCAATTAAACGCCAAAAGGTCAGCCGATCAAAGCTAATCAATTTCATTTCGGCTCCACCATACTTCCACTGCGTGCTGATCGACACAGCTTTTACTCTGTACCCACCTTTAGAAAGGATTTTGGCAATGGCCTGAGCCAAGGACGGCTTCTCCGCTACCATCAGCACACTTCTCATGATGAGCAGTTTCCCTCAGCTGTCGCTTACTGTCCCAATCTTGTCAAAAGGAAACACTGACCTGTGCTATGCTTATCACCGGCTAACAGGCTGTGTGAGAAACTACTGCCGTGGCCATGGCGCGTTCTACCATACGAGATCTACTTCCGGGTGAACGTCATGGCCTTTGCCTCCCATTTAATTAGTTTTAATGATTTTCTTTATCGTCTTCTCTGCTATTATTATTATTATTATTATTATTATTATTATTATTATTATTATTATTATTATTATTATTATTATTATTATTATTAAAAATTGGTAGTGACAAATAAGGTGACAAATTAAATACAGACTCGTAGCTTAGCTAACTCAACAAAACTAACAAAAATATATGCGTGAGGAGCGTAACATAATTTGAAAAGAATCTTACCAAATGGACAAACCCAAAAATCTGAAAGAAAATTTTTATTTTCAGGTAGCGCTGTCGTTTTATTCCGTAATCTAAAGGTTTTAGATTTTGTTTAGGTTAAAGTGAATTTAAAAAACAAAAGAGACAAAAAAAAAAGCTATCATGTCTTTTTGTCTTTTTTTAATGCCGCGTTGACGTTCTTGCGACAATAAAATGGCTCGACTGTGTGTGTGTGTGTGTGTGTGTGTGTGTGTGTGTGTGTGTGTGTGTGTGTGTGTCAATCAAAATTTGGACACAAGATGGCAGTAGACGACACGAAATAACCGGGTACGTCAGTCATTTTCTTCTACCCAAAGTGAGAAAACATATCATCTCAGCAGAGCAGGTGTTTGTTTTTTTAAGAGTTTTACGTATATCTTTGTGTTTGGTTGGTTGTTTTTATTTACGTGTTTATTGTACTGATGAAGACCAGCCATGTGAATAATGGCAGCCTGGATTCTGTTAGGCCGAAAGCAAACAGTGACAATGATCAGAATAAGAAACAAAGATGTCATGCTGTCATTTCTATGATCCACCTTTTTTTTTTCTTTAAACACTGCTACACAGCTGTGTGTACATCCATCCATCTAGTACATAGTGTTCTTTGAGAACTGCGTGGGTCACTGCGTGCGTGACAAAGGTCAGTGAAGACAAAACAGTCAGTGTATCATGGGAAGCCCTCAGAAGGCTTCCCTTCTAAAGGGGCAGGTAAAATGCATACTATTGTATAATACCAATTATGTAAGTGTTCTGATTAAAAAATAATTTAATTATCTTTGTTTTGATGATATATAGTTCCAATATCTAAAATTTAAGAAAATACAATACTGGTATTTTTGTCATTTGCCTCTTGAATGGGCCATCAACTGTACATAAGCCCAGAATGATCACTTAATAATCCGGTCAAAATTATCACCAGTAGTAGAAGATTCCTTTAAAACTATGAAGTAGATGGCCCAGAGTAACATGTAACACGTTAAAAAAACAAACAAAAAAACCAAAATAATTATTCCAAGTATTGAGCCCTGGGGGACACCACATACGAGATAGATTAGTCCTTTTTCATCAGTACCTACTCAAGTCAGCTTGGTTCGACTTGAGTCGACTCAGTTTTTAGGGTGGTAGTATTCAGTGTTGGGACTAACGTGTTATTAAGTAACGCGTTACAGTAACTACGTTATTATTGTGGTAACGAGCACGGTAACTAGTTATTATGCCAAAATCAGGAACGCGTTATCGTTACTGGGATTTAGATAGGGTCGTTACTCGTTACTTCGTGTGGTGGCTATCGCGGAGCTTCCACAGATTCAGTAACATTAGCAAGTGGTGGAGGCCAGCAGGTGGATGAAGGAAAAGGGACGCAGAAGGAAAAGAGACCCGAGGCGGCCGCCGGTCCAAGTGTGAACTGAACTTCAGGTAAGAAGTTATGACCTGCAGTCTCTCTGGGTCAGATATGAACCAAGTTTAGGTGGAGTTTATTTTCGTTATTCTGACTTTTTCCGTACTGCGTGCTAGCTAGCATGACGGAGTTTCTATACAGCTGGGTGGGTGCTATGAAGTTAATGATGTTGAACTTTATTTTGTTCATAAGTTATTAGAGTTGCCAACCGTCCCGTCTGGTATTCAGAGAAAATATTACGCGTTTCTTATTGAGGTGAAAAGGAACAGTTTGTCCGGATTCAGTAAATGGCCTGCATTTGTATAGCGCTTTTCTAGTCCATAGGACCCCAAAGCGCTTTACACTACATTCAGTCATTCACCCATTCACACACTTCACACACTGGCGATAGCAAGCTACATTGTAGCCACAGCTGCCCTGGGGCGCACTGACAGAGGCGAGGCTGCCGGACACAGGCGCCACCGGGCCCTCTGACCACCACCAGTAGGCAAACACGGGGTTAGTATCTTGCCCAAGGATATTTGGCATCAGCCAGGATGCAGCCTGGGATCGAACCACCGACCTTCTGATTAGTGGCTGACCTGCTCTGCCACCTGAGCTACAGCCACCCACCAGCTACAATGAAAAAGGCACAAAGCTGGAGTTATTCTGTGTTTACACCGCACAGCTGCCTCTTCTTCTCTCATTCTCCCCCCTCCCTCTCCCGTTTCTACTTCAATCATGAAAACTGATCAATGATCAGCTGATCGGCTCTCTTGTTTGTTTATCGCTCACTTTGCGCCGAAAGAGGAAACCAGCGGATGTCGCGCTAAACAACAGCAGCACTTTAAGCTTGATCAGCTGTTGTTAGAATTTATTTAATATTAATTTCTAGTATCAGCTGATGTTTGCTGGAGCCACAGCTGCAAAAAAGCTGCTGGTCATGATATGGTTTGGTTATCTGGTGAGAGGGAAACATGAAGATGAAACCAGGAGATGTCCTTACTGGATCATCAGAGCTGAACAGGTGATGGAGAAACAGGTTTACCTTTTAGGTGACATGAATGAGTTGAAGGGAAGTTATGAACTGTTTCTGAGAGACAAATAACACCAGGATCCTTTTTTAGGTAGCTGACAGCTGGTAACTGTGCAGGGGCGGGTCTAGCAAAGTGTTGCCAGGGGGCAGGTAGGGCATTAACAGGGAAAGGGGGGCACAAAGAAATACTTTTCTTTCTTATTCTCATTTAAAATGTCTAGCTTTTAAAAAATAATTATCTGAATCTTACAACAAACGATTGATAGATTGATGCATATATACCATCAGAACAGTGTACATCACTGTCACAACAGTGTTTGTTTTCATTCAAAGGCTTTATGATTTTTCCTATAATGGTGGGCCGGTCTCTAGTCAAAATGCCCGGGCGATTTTTTTGTCCCAGTCCAGCCCTGTATGCAGCTCATCTGCAGTCTGGTGTTCCTACATCTTCCTATTCAGAAGGCAGAATTTCGAGTTCTGAGTACAATCGAAAGCACCACGACTGCAGTTTTTGTGTTGGATGTAAAAGGCGCACATGACGCTGTGACGTAGGCTAGAATCATGGCAGCAGTCAATGACGGTCCAGGCGTGGGATTTCTCTCGTGGAAATATGCACATTATCTTTTCCTTTCTATTGGTAGGTGGCACAGTGCACTTGTGGCAAGTAAGCAAGCTAGAAGACTGGCAAAGTTATGGAAGCAACACATTAACAAGAGAATTCTGAGTAAAACCAAAGTTACTTTCCCTAGTAACTAGTTACTTTGAAAGTAACGAGTAACTTGAAGTAACTGAGTTACTTTTGAGAGAAGTAACTAGTAATGTAACTAAGTTACTATTTTAAAGTAACTTACCCAACACTGGTAGTATTTAATTAAGTGGTAATTAGGTGGTAGTACCTGGTATCAGGTACTTTTTTTAGTACCTACTCAGCTTAGGTTCCAAGCAACCTGAGGCGTTACAAAAATGTGTACAAAATACTCCAATCTCTGTTTGTTTATTACATCTCTACACAGATTTAAATACGTAAATGTGGCTTGAGTTACACATAAATGATTTTGCTACAATTGCCTGTAGTTTTGGGACAGGCACTTGGGATAGACTAACTTGTGTCATCCTGTGGGTGGGTCGTTGGTGTTCACAGATATTATGGTTTTATATTTTGTTATTGTTTTTAGTATTAATTTCATTTCAAAGTTTTATTTTCAGTTTAGTCTTAGTTTTGAAAATGTGTATGCTCATTTCAATTGAATTTTTGTTGTTTGAAAAGTATTTCACTTTATTTGAGTTTTGATTAGCTTTGTGATGTTTTCAGCCACAAGATTTATGATGTTTACAACAGGCTTTACGGTGCAAATGCTTTGTTACAGGGACATGCTAGACTCAGTAAATATATTAACCAAATGATGATAAGTATTTTATTTGTTTGTTTCACATTTGGTTTTTATTTTTATTCTACTAAGGCTTGTGACTACATAATCTTAACTCAGTTATGAAGCAATATTGTGAATGTTGCCAATTTTGTAAAAGTTCAGCAATCTGAGCACTGCACACAACACTGCTTAAGAGCATAGAGCTTAATATTGCCCCTTTTACTGTTCAGGTTTCCGATGGTCTTTGTGTCCTTCCTGGTTTTCTTCCTCACATCTTCACTGCTTAACCAAAAGAGCTGCTGAATGTACATTAGCCTGTGCTGCTCCTCCCTCTCTCTATACCATTAGAATAGCTGTTGCAGGCTGTGTTGCTATGGTGACATACTCCCCTTTTCCTCTCCAATGTCGGATCCATTTGGAATGGTGCTCCGATAGCAAGTTCAAATCTGGGGCTGTAGAATAGAAATATTGTGGTATTGATCCCATGCAGAAAGAACTGGGAAGCATTTCAAAACTGGTGCAGTGCAGACAGATGAACATTGATGTCAATGCAACATATACACGAGATCTCATGTGTACCCATAAGGCTCTTTACAGCAAACAGGGAAAATGTACATCAGATAAATTTTATTTATATAGCATCAAATCCCAAGAGGCACTGTAAGGTAAAGACCCTAAAATAATACAGAGGAAACCCCTAACCCTAATCCCAACAATCAGATGACCCCCTTTTGAGCATACTTTGCAAGAATGGGAAGGAAATAGTCAGAGAGGAGGAAACAGGAATGGGAGGAAGACAGGATGAAGACACGCTATGGAAGAGAGCCAGAGATTAATAATACCCAACGACTGAATTCAGATTGGTCTATGTGGTAAAAACACATAGTTGGGGAAAAATGTTAAAACAGTGAATGAATATGAACTTGTTCACGTTACCACATTC